CCCCCACAAAAAAAGGAAGTCAAGCGAATTTTCTTTTTTAAACTTAAAAAAAAACAGCCCATGACCACTCCATGATCCATTCTGCCGTCGTAAGGGAAAACGACGAATGGTAAAAATTTTTCGATTTTTTATTTTTATATATTTCATAGAATATTTAATTCTGCATCTGATGGTGTCAAAATTTTTGTCTAACCCTAATACGTTGTTGCGTAATTGAGAGTTTGTCGTTTTCCCTTACACTGGCGAGCTCCGAGCCAGAGCTCAGTGTCAGGGAGAACGACGAATGGTCGATCGGCCAAGGATTACTGTTTGTTCGGCGTTGTCCCCTGGTCTCTGCCGTTGGGCAAATTCGGCAAGGGCGACGAATGAAAACTGGTCACTGTTGCGTCTGTACAAACGTACTAGGCCTTTTTAGCAAACAAACACACCACCACCCCTCCCCCCGGAGTACCGTCGACCAGGTTTATAAAATTGTATCACTTTGTCTTTCTGTCTGTCTTCACGTATTAGGCTTATGCTGATGGTGTGAATTGACAAGAGCAGGCGGGAGAGAGGGGAAAACGGATGGGAACAGGAGGGAAAGGGGTGGGGATGGGAGGGTCAAAAAAATTATTTAGGGAGAAATTCATTAGCACTGCCTATTAGTATCCGCCAGATGTTCACAGACTAACATCATGATAGTTTGCTGTCCCGTCATTTGACATCCCAAATCCCAACGATGGTTATAGTGCCGCAATGTGTCTAGCACGTGTCACTGGTCGACATCATTATAGAATTACCAAGCAATTAATGACACTGCGTTATGAGAGTTAATTTCTTTGTCCAACTTAAATAGTGGACGTATTGTGGGGACACTTAGTCTTGCTTTACGATTTTTTATGAACTGATGGACGTTACGATCGAGTATAATAATGTTTTGCAGATTAAAACTGTACTTGTCGATCTCTACTTTGTGGTATGTTTTCTGATCCGATCAACTGAATCCTTTATTAAATACAAAGTGTTGCATCACCTCTCCCGAAAGCGTTTGTAATACAGTCTTGTCAGATTGTTACATTTCTTACGTGAAAGTTTTACTTCGCAATGATCTGATCGTATAATTGACATTGTGACATTGATTCCTTTGGTCGTGCAGGGAAAATTTTGCAATTAGCAAAGATAAAAGTAAAACTCGCTTCTGAAGAGAATACAATAGAGAGATATCATGGAGACCAAACTTTGGTTCCGAATGAGACATTTTAAAATCAAGCTGTTGAAAATGTGTGCACATCTGCTTAGTATACTGACTGTGTAGTATTTAACCAAGCGAGGAAGGGAAACGAAGGACGTTTTCCGAGTTACAGTTGGGATACAACAAACACCTAACTTTATACGTATAATAGCTAGTTTGTATACACGTCTTATTTTTATTTGTAATAACCAGTACATAGTCATTACTGTAAATAATGCGTCACAACTGACCATCGCCTACCCCCATAAACGCTCAGGAGTGTAAGGAAGAACGACGAACCATACCATTCGTCGTTTTCGCTCACATCCCAAGGCTCATCTGAGGGTGCACAGTGTAAAGGAGAACGACGAATGTCGAATAACTTTGTTACTTTTTAACCTAAACCATTCAAACTTTAGAAACTGCTTTATGAAAACCTCAATCAGATATCTGGTGAATTACAGCTTAAAAGAGTGAAGAATAGAAGAGTTATAAAGTGAAAACAGTTTTTGCCTCTCCTGAAAAATTTGCCTCGCTAACTGCGCAGGACCATTCGTCGTTTTCCCTTAGGACAGCAGCATTATCCCCTCCCTCTCACCTGTAGACTCCATAGTGCTTGCCCGAGGCGCGGTCGCCGCAGATGGCGCAGATGTGCTTGGTGTGCAGCGACGAGTGGGGCAAACCGGGGGACGGGCTGGGGCCCGAGGGGCTCAGGCACATTGCGGGCGGCGAGCCCATGGACGAGGTCGGCGAGTGCATGCCCGGGGAGTGCATCTGGGGCGGGCCAGGGGAGGGCTGGGTGGACGAGGCCATGCTGCCACCGGGGCCCCCGAAGCCGTAGTAGCCGTGCGTGGAGGTGGGCGAGGTGAGCGAGGAGATGTCCGGCTTGATGTCCGGCGGCGGCGCGTGGCCGCCCATGCCCATGCCCATGTGAGGGGGCATGCCTCCCGACATGCCTCCGTTGTCTAGCGTGTCTGCCGAAAGAGGGAAACGAAACAAAAAGTGTAAGACATCATGATGTAAAAAAACAACAACCAAAAAACCCAAAAAAACACGTCGGTTTGTTTGCTGGGTTGGTTGGTTGTTTGTGTGTTACAGTAAAAAAAAAAGCACATTAACACAATTAGTTTTAGTAAGAGTTTTACTGCACTTACAACACAATAAGGTCAAATAAGTGTCGAAGATTAGGTGTTACAAGAGAGTAACAAACGCAAAAAAGGAGGCGATATATGTTAGATAGGAAAGAAGAAGCAAACCACACCAGAGGTTGGAAGGCGCCAGTGGTAGGACCTACTTCTTTACTTTCCATGCGTTGTTTTTGTCTATCTGTCTTTTTCCCCCCAGCACCTAATGTCCATTATTGTGTCAACGTGCATCTATTTCCTCGAATAAACAAAACAAATAAAGAGAAGTACATTGACACAACAACGGGAAACAAAAAAGTAAACCCTGCCTGCAACTTTCTGAGTTCTGCTGGTGTTGGGTTGGAGGTTTTTTAAACACCCTGATTGACTCAGTTTAGACCATTTAGAAGGCAAACTTCCAGCCCTGCCTGTCTGCTGTCAGGGCCATCCAGGGCCGAGAGGTTTACAATATATCAAAAAGACCGACGCGACATACAAGTAAAAAAAAAATTCTCCCCACTCAGAAATCAAACTCAGGTCTCCTGCGTGCGACAGCGGAGTGCCTAACCACTACACCACAAACGCCGGTACTTTTCAGAGGTGAAAACTTCGTGCTAGCCTTAGTAGAGCCAAAAACAACAGTACTGTTATCTTTCCCTTCACCTGAGCATACCAGCCCGAGTACACAGAACAGGCCCACAGCACTGTTGACCAACCACAAACACCGGTGACAACAAGGTCTGATTCATTGGGTAGATGTTTCACGGCACTACCGACACAGTGACAACAAAGCCCGGGGAAAATTGGAAACTGTGGCTTTCTCACCGTTACAACCCAGAAAATACCTCGCCTTTTTCACGTAACGTAATGTCATTGAAGTTGAAGTATGATTGAAGAAACGCTTTGAAAAAACAACAACACACACACAAAGTCTTGAATATAAAATTACCTTTCTTGCATTTAATGTATTGGAAGAAGTGCTTGAAAACAAATGGCGCGAAGTATGAAGAAATTATTTATCTTTTAAAATCAGAATGTCATTGAAGAAAACAATGCCTCTTGTTCGCATCTAATGTTATTAATGAAGTAATCTTTGTTTGAGTAAAGAGAAGCATACGGACACAAAATTGTCATTTAGTGCTGGGAAAAAGAGACAGACAGCCAGAAACAACGGAGGGAAAGTGAGGACCTCCAGTGGTGTTCTACCACCCGCTTGAAGGAGTAAAAAATGCTCGACAACAGGCGTCCACCGAGTCTAGAGCAGTGCTTACTCGTCAACCTCTTTATAGCAAGCACCAACTTGTCACCTTTTTACGAGGCTGAAATGTTTGTTATCAGCCGCCTCCATTATACCGGTGCCGTAATTTCAAATGTTACATAAAATAACATCTGTCACTATCCGGGGGGCCCAATACCCACCAAAAGTGTAAAATTGCCCACCAGAGAGCAATACCAACCTCCTGCACAATTCATGTTGAAACCATAAATTAAAATTGAACTTCTCTTCCCCGCCAACTGCTACATGTACATATATTTATTACATAACGAGAGAGTTGTCAATGATCAAAAGCTGGTTTGAACTTACACCTTTTGCTATTTTCTTGTCAACCGCATCAATGGTGCCAGGAAACAGATGGACAATCTCTCCCAGGAAGCCTATTTTTATTGGGGAGAAACTTAAAACTAACAACCGGTAAATTGTTTAATTAACTATCTAAGACCACTTCAGCTCATATACAATACAATGTTGACACGACTTCATGCTTTCTCATCCGTCGAATTGTAAATAACACAATTCAGTAAGAAACATATTAGGCCCTGCTTTACAAGTGAAACAAAAATCGAGTTTAATAGAAAATGAAGATAGTCCATAATTTGTGACAGACTACATTGACATTCATCACATTCAAGATGATACAAACTTCCTTTCACCTCCCATGGAACTTCCTTTCACCTCCCAGGGAGACAAGAATTATAATTCAGACAGATGCTTTTTTCCACTCCATCATGACGTATTTAAAGCGGTTTTCCCCCATACGATCAGGACAAAAGATCGTCCCGAGAATAGCCGTAGACGTACAATGAACGAAACCGTTGGAAAAAAAAAAGAATAAAATGGTAATGACGCAAGGTTGATAGGGCAACGAAAAGGGGCGGGTATTCCTCCAGCTGACGGAGTTCCTGGTTGAAAGAGGGTTTTTATCGATCGCAGGTAGAGGGAGGGAGAAAAGGGGGAGGGGGAGAGGGAGAGAGAGAGA